CGAACAGTTCATACACTTCACTAACACCTTCCACCCCAACCTTAAATTTACCTGGACCATCTCTAACACCTCTCTCCCCTTCCTGGACCTCTCTGTCTCCATATCGGGCAACCACCTAGAAACCGATATTCATTTCAAGCCCACCGACTCCCACAGCTACCTAGAATACTCCTCCTCCCACCCACCTTCCTGCAAAAATGCTATCCCCTATTCCCAATTCCTTCGCCTCTGCCGCATCTGCTCCCAGGATGAGGCATTCCACTCCCGTACATCTCAGTTGTCCTCGTTTTTCAAGGACCGTAACTTCCCCTCCTCGGTGGTCGAGAACGCCCTCAACCGTGTCTCCCACATCTCCCGCACCTCATCCCTCACACCCCGTCCACGCAATAAAAACCAAAAAAGAATCCCCCTCGTCCTCACGTACCACCCCACCAACCTCCGGATCCAACGCATCATCCTCCGACACTTCCGCCATCTGCAATCCGACCCCACCACCAAAGACATCTTTCCCTCCCCACCTTTATCTGCTTTCCGGAGGGACAACTCTCTCCGTGACTCCCTTGTCCGCTCCACACTCCCCTCCAGCTCCACCACACCCGGCACTTTTCCCTGCAACCGCAGGAAGTGCTACACCTGCCCCCATACCTCCTCCCTCACCCCCATCCCAGGCCCCAAGAAGACTTTCCACATCAAGCAGATGTTCACCTGCACGTCTGCCAATGTGGTATACTGCATCCGCTGTAGCCGGTGTGGCTTCCTCTACATCGGGGAAACCAAGCGGAGACTCGGGGACCGCTTTGCAGAACACCTACGCTCGGTTCGCAACAAACAACTGCACCTCCCAGTCGCGAACCATTTCAACTCCCCCTCCCATTCCTCAGACGACATGTCCATCCTGGGCCTCCTGCAGTGCCACAACGATGCCACCCGAAGGTTGCAGGAACAGCAACTCATATTCCGCTTGGGAACCCTGCAGCCCAATGGTATCAATGTGGATTTCACAAGTTTCAAAATCTCCCCTCCCCCCACCGCATCCCAAAACCAGTCCAGCTCGTCCCTGCCTCCCTAACCTGTTCTTCCTCCCACCTCAAGCCGCACCTCCATCTCCTACCGACCAACCTCATCCCGCCCCCTTGACCTGTCCGTCCTCCCTGGACTGACCTATCCCCTTCCTAACTCCCTGCCTACACTCACCTTTCCTGGCCCCATCCCCGCCTCTTCGACCTGTTTGTTTCCTCTCCACCTATCCTCTCCTCTATCCCTCTTCTATCCGCCTCCCACTCTCTCCCTATTTATTTCAAAACCCCCTTCCCCTCCCCCTTTTCTGATGAAGGGTCCTGGTCTATAGTTACCTGCTTTTTGTCTACTTCCTTTTTTAAACAGTGGCGTCACATTGGCTGTTTTCCAATCTGCATGAACCACTCCAGAGTCCAGTGAATTTTGGTAAATAATTACTCGTGCATTTGCTATTTCCCCCATCACCTCTTTTAGTACCCTGGGAGGCATTTCATCAGGGCCAGGAAACTTGTCTACCTTTGGCCCCATTAGCTTGCCCAGCACTGCCTCCTTAGTGATAATGATAGTTTCTAGGTCCTCACCTGCTATAACCTTCTTGCCATTAGTTTTCAGCATGTTATTTGTGTCTTCCACTGTGAAGACCAACACGAAATAACTGTTTAATGTCTCAGCTATTTCCTCATTCCCAGTTGTTAAATTGGCCTTCTCATCCTCTAAAGGACCACTGTTTACCTTCACCACTCTTTTACGATTTACATATTTATAGAAATTTTTGCTGCCTGTTTTTATATTCTGAGCTAGTTTACTCTCATAATCTATCTTACTTTTCTTTATAACTTTTTTTGTGGCTTTCTGTTGGCCTTTAAAGATTTCCCAGTCTACTAGTTTCCCACCTCTATTGCTTTTTTGTATTTTTTTTTCAATCTGATACTTTCCTTTATTTCCTTAAACATCCATGGCAGGCTCTCTCTTTTCCTACAGTTCTTCCTTATCACTGGAATATACTTCTGCTGAGCACTGTGAAAAATCATTTTGAAAGTCGTCCACTGTTCCTCACTTGACCCACCATAAAGTTTTTGCTCCCATTCTACCTTAGCTAACTCCTCCCTCATTCCTTCATAGTCTCCTTTGTTTAAGCACAGGACATAGGTACTGGATTTAACCTTCTCATGCTCCATCTGTATTTTAAATTCGACCATACGGTGATCACTCCTTCTGAGAGGATCCCTAACTGTGAGATCATTAATTATTCCTGTATCATTACCCAGGACTAGATCTAGGATAGCTGTCTCCCTCATAGGTTCCATTACATATTGTTCAAGGAAATTATCGCAGATGCATTCTATGAACCCCTCCTCAAAGCTGCCATGACCGACCTGGTTTGACCAATCAATATGTAGATTAAAATCCCCCACGATAATTGCTGTACCATTTTTACATGCATTAGCTATTTCTATGTTTATTGCCCGCCCCAACACGATGTCATTATTTGGTGGCCTACAGACCACACCTATCAGTGACTTCTTCTCCCTGCTATTCCTAATTTCCACCCAAATGGATTCAACGTTTTGTTCAGTAGAACCTATATTATCTCTCACTACCGCCCTGATATCATCCTTAAAAATCAGAGCAACACCACCTCCCTTACCTTCCTGTCTGTCCTTCCGAACAGTTTAATACTCCTGGATATTTAACTCCCAGTCATGACCATCCTGTAACCATGTCTCTGTAATGGCCACTAAATCATACCCATTTGCCATGATTTGCACCGTCAACTCATCCACCTTGTTTCGAATGCTCCGAGCATTCAGATAAAGTGCCCTTATGCCAGTTTTTGCACCTTCTTTTTGGGTCCTATTACCTCCATTACTAACAGCTCTGAGTTCTCCTTCCCTTTAACTTTTTTCCTAATTTTCAATGGAGTTGAAGCTTCCTCGTCACCTGCTAACCTGCTGCTTTGCCTTACATTAATTGTTATTCTCCCTCTACGCTCACTTCTCCCTTCCCCCCTACTTACTAGTTTAAAGTCCTATTAACCACACTATTTACCCTTTTCGCCAGAACACTGGACCCGGCCCTGTTCAGGTGGAATCCATCTCAGAGGTATAGATCCCTCCTGTCCCAGAACTGATGCCAGTGCCCCATGAAAAGGAAACCCTCTTTCCCACACCACTCTTTTAGCTATGTGTTTACTTCCCTGATCCTCGCTGCCCTATGCCAATTTGCACGTTGCTCAGGCAGCAATCCAGAGATTATGACCCTTGAAGACCTGTTTTTTAATTTTGTTCCTAGCTTTTCATAATCCCAAAATAGGTCTTTTTTCCTAGTCCTGCCTATGTTGTTGGTACCTACGTGGACCACAACAACTGGATCCTCCCTCTCCCTCTCTAGTATCCTCTCAAGCCGGGCAGAGATATCTCGCACCCTGGCACCAGGCAGACAACACACCATGCGGGATTCTCTATCCTGCTCGCAGAGGATACTGTCTATCCCCCTGATGATGGAATCCTCTACAACTACAATCTGTTTTTTCGCCCCCCCCCCTCTTGAATGGCCTCCTGGACCATGGTGCCATGGTCAGTTGACTCATCCTTCCTGCAGCCCTGTTCCTCTTCCACGCAGGGAGCAAGTGCCTCATACCTGTGGGACAATGTCAAAGGCTGCGGCTCCTGTGTTTCTGTCTGTGTCTCTACCTGCCTCACTCGCAGTCACAAAATGCTGTCCCTGCCCGCCGATCGAATTAACATTAGTTAATCTACCAGGTGTGACTGCCTCCCGGAACACAGCATCCAGGTATTTCTCTCCCTCCCGGATGTGCCACAGTGTTTGGAGCTCGGATTCCAGCTCATCAACTTTGAGCCGGAGCTTCTCAAGCAGCTAACACTTGCTGCAGATGTGGTCACTGCCGTTCTCAATGGAATCAGCGAGCTCCCACATCATACGGCTACAACACATCACCTGGCCTGCCATCTCTACTTAGTTAATTATTTAAAATTAATTAGTTTTTTTTAGTTTCGCAGTGTTCTCTGCACCAGTAAGTTTACTCCGTTATATACTCAAACAGACTCCGGCTTTGCCTTCTGACCCGCACACAGAGGATTTGGCGTCTAGGTGATCACCCCACCGCTGAAATAACTGAAAGGCTGCAGTCACGCGAGGTAAGACTTTTATAATCGAAAAGCTTACCTTCCCAGGCTGCCCTCGTGTTTTCTCCCGAACTCCCACCGCTGAAACAACTGAAAAATATATGCCACCTTTTCTTGTAGTTCAGTTGAACCTGCACTGCTTTCACTCCAAGGCTGGAATTGCTTATTCTCTCATGGAATCTGTGCTTCGCTGGCTATGCCAGCATTAATTGCCCGTCCCTAGTTGCCCCTCAAGCAGGTGGTGGTGACTCACCCCACCGAATCTAACCCCCCAACCCCGAACCATCGCAGTCCGTGTTCTGTAAGATGACCCACAGTGCCCTTAGGGAGGGAACTCCAGGACCCTCACCCAGCAACAGTGAGGGAACACCCGATATATTTTCATATTCAGTACCTGAGGAAGGCTGCCCGGAACTGCTGGTAGTAACTCCATGCTTGCTCTAACACATCCCTTAATACATTTGCTTAACAGAAATGCACCTGTCTAAGACTTCACGTCAACAGCCGGTCCAGCGACCACTGCCGTATGTGGAAGAAAATTCCGAACAAATACCACCTTTTGTGTGTAGTGCTGCTTCCTAACACCTCTCCTGAACGGTCCAGCCCTAACTCTCAGACTTCGCCCCCTAGTTCTAGAATCTCCAGTCAGTGGACATAATTTATCTACCCTGTCTTTTCCTGTTAATATCTTGAAAACTTCGATCAGATCACCCCTTAATTTTCTAAATGCTAGGTTTGTAGCCTAGTTTGTATAATCTCTCCTTATATCGTCATCCCTGATATCCAGGTATCATTCCTATTTTGTCCTCCCTCCAAGGTTAATATACCCTTCCGAAGGTGGGATCCCCAGGTCAAATTCCAATATTTGTTTGTTTCTACATATGCTACTGAACAGAACCGAACTGCTTGAGTGACAATGTATGCATATAAAGTTTTTTTTGTCAATAAAGTATATTTTTGAAATAAAATAAAGCTTCTCTCAGGACGATGCTATCCCATTGCTCTTGCGGTAATGGAGATTGTGTTTGCATTCTCCCCTGATTCGCAATCTAAAAGTAAATGGTTCCTCATTTGCTCAGAAGAGGGAACCTATGAGGGAGTAAGTGAGGCTGTTGCCATTTTAACCCCCGGCAGTCCCATGTTTATTGACGCTTTCATCTCTCACCCCACACATACCCCTTCAATTATCACGGCTTTCACATTACACACGCTGTAGTAATTGCCATGTGATTATCCCTGCCCTATATAATTCATACATTGATCTCAATTTCCCCTGCAGGTACGCTTTTCTCTTTGCCGGTTACTTCTTTCCCACAAATTCAACTTCCGTATTTTTGTTTTTTCCGCCTTTTAATTTGCCCATTCAAATAGTTGTTCCTGGCTCCTGTTTTAAAATAAAATATGGAAGATGCCATTTATTTCCTGAGATCTGCTAAGTATTTACGACAACGAAAGCAAAATACAGTGTATGCTGGAATTCTGCTACGGATAACAGAGAAACTCAGTACATTTGGCAGCGTCGGTGCAGTGAGAGGCAGAGTTAATGTTTCGAATACAATATGACTTTTTCCAAACTGAAAAAAAAATTGGAAAACGGATTTTTAAAATTTTGTTTTGCTTAGACAAAGACAGAGGACAGGCTGGTTGGTGTGAAGGTACAGTGTAAAAGACAAAGCGGTTGCTCAGGAAAGATCTATGTTGTTGTTGTTCATGTTCTGAAGAAGGATCACTGGACCCGAAACGTTAGTTCTGATTCACTCCTGTGTATCTGTTACTCTCTATAACATCCTGAACACCTCGATTTGTTTCCACGGATGCTGCCGGACCTGCTGAACTTTTCCAGCAATTTCTGTTTTTTGGCCCTCGATTATATTCATGTCTGTAACTCACTCTGGTGTATCTAGCACTCTGTATATAAACTCCCTAGAACCACTAAATTAGATTCTAGCCTGTCAGTCACTCTTGAGTGTCTTTTATTCTATACATAAACCACACCAAACCCCTTATCAGATTCCAGTCCATAACTTACTCACAGATATCTGTTATTCTGTACGTAAGGTCAGAGGTGACACGACACCAGGTTATAATCCAATATGCTTATTTGAAATCACAAACTTTTTGAGCAGTGCTCAGAAATCCTGTGATTTCAAATAAACCTGTTGGACTATAACCTGGTCTTGTGTGACCTCTGACCTTGTCCAACACTGTCCACCGTCAGCACCTCCACATTATGGCTACTATTCTGTATATAAACCAGTTGTATTCTCACACACAGATGCACGGATGTAAACGTGTCCTCCAGTGATGAACACTCTGATACACAAACACACAGAAATACACATGGACAAACAGATGTCACTCAGTGATGTACATGCTCTCTGTCGCCTACTCACACATGCACTCACTCACACAGACAAGTGTGCAAGCAGATGTTCACATAGGACTGAGGGATTTTCACCGTCTCTCACACACACAGACAAACAGAGAGACACACAAACTCGTCACCCAGGGATATACAGTCTCTCACTCACGCATCTCTCAATGATGTACACAGCCTTACACACACACACAGAGAAGAAAACAAACATCTCTCAGCAATGTGCACACTCACATACACACCAACACACAGAAGATCAGATGTCACTCAGTGATGCACTGTCTCTCTCTCTCTCACACACATGGACACAAAGCAACCCTGACAGAGAGAAACACATAGACGTACTAGCTGACACACTCAAATCGCGCCTGGAGCTTCTAGATCACATTGCAGACAGGAACTCACTCTCAGGCATCAGTTATTTCAAATTAAAATGTTTTATTTTTAAAATTTTAAGTTAAATTAAAATTTTAAATTAAAAATATTTATTAGATTTCAGTCCTGGGAATCAGTTAATCTATTTATAAAACCCTTGAATCCCTCGACTAAACGCCCATCTGTAACTAATTCCTGGCAATGTATTATTATATATGTAAACCATACTGAACCCTTTGATTTGATTCCAGTCTGTAACTCACTCCTGGGTATCCAGTACTCTGCATATAAACCATCCCGATCTCCTTGCTTAGATGCAAATCTCTAACTCACTCCTGCCTATCTGTTACAAGCATATAAACTGTACAAAACCCCTCAAATAGATAAAAACCGAAAGAACTGCGGATGCTGTAAATCAGGAACAAAAACAAAGTTGCTGGAAAAGCTCAGTAGGTCTGGCAGCAGATCCGGACCTGAAACATTAACTCTGTTTTTTCCTTCACAGATGCTGCCAGACCTACTGAGCTTTCCTAGCAACGTTATTTTTGTCCCTCAAATAGATACTCGTCTGTTCTCAGTCCAGGGTATCTGTAACTATATATAAAAATCACCCTGAACTCCTCAATTCCATGGCAGTCGATAACTTACACTTAACTTACACGTATTATGCTATAGTTAGATTACAGTTTCAAAGTCAGCACAAGCTAAATGGTTAAATGTTAAGCCGGGAACAAAAACGATGAAAGCTACAGTTAAATTTATGCTACCTTCTGTTTTTCAAAAAAACAACTTCCTCTGGAATTCTGTCATTTTTATGGAGTTCAGCAGTTCAATAAAGCAGCTGACTACCACCTTTTCAAGGGCTGATAGGAATGGGAAATAAATTCTGGCTCAGTCAGTGATGCTCACATCCTGTGAATGAATAAAATAAAAACCTTTCCTTCCGAATGACTCGCTGCCCCTGCAGACTAACTCAGTGTCAATGATATCCCAGAACACATATATCGCGCTGTGCTTCAGATTCCTGCAAAGTCTCCCTGTTTAAACATCACACTCCCGACTTCATACTGCTTTGGGCAGTGTTTTACCCTCTCATCGACCATCTCCTACATCGGTCAATTTGAATAACCTTCAATCCTCTTCACAAATTACCACTGATTCTCGTGTGCAGTTTCACTGTCACGTTTTGCCTTCTTGAATATAAGCCAGCCAGGCATCCAAAACTTTAGGCCTGAATCAAATGAAGGGGGCCTTCACAATCAATTCAAACGACTGCTCCTCACAGCCACATTGAGGTGATTACACACCACATATCGAATTTCCATCCTTGGCTCACAAATGTATAGTTTAGGTACGCACTGCACAATGGCAGCAAGAGGCACCATAATACACTGCGCCAGTGAAACAGCTCGCAAGGCCACAGAGGCGGGCCGAACGGAACCGTTCTTTACATGTGTGGAGAAGAAATGCGCGCCCTCAGATGAAGAGCTTCACCGATGGCTAATAGAAAACTCTGGAGGACCAGATGTAAGAAGGTCCTCCAGTCAATCAGCGTTAACCTAGTGTCAGAATGCGGAAGTTGGACAACGTGTTCCTGAAGCTGCTCATTCCTGCCCAGCAAAATTGCTGCTGGTATTCGTCTCTCTCTGAGTGACGATCGAGCTTCAGCCAGACTGAAACTTCCTCGTCGGCCAACCATCTGGGAGCATAACACTTTCTTTTCTTGCCCCTTCCAGTTTCTTTTCTTTTCCCTTCCAGTTTCTTTTCTCGACGTGGAGGTGCCGATGTTGGACTGGGGTAGAGGAAGTCAGAAATGACACGACACCAGGTTGTAAGAATTGCAGTGGGGTGCGGGGGTGGGGTGGGGACTTGCAGACTGCGGAAAGCTTGGCCCAGGTCTTCCGCAGTCTACCAAGACATTGACATCCCTTACTCCCTCAGCTTGACACACATTTGTCTGGCTAAGAGAATGGCATCTCTTTTAATGGTCACAGTTGAAAGGGGTTATTTTCAGGCAAGAGCTGAAATGTGATGAGGCATTAAATTTATATCAGGTTGAGTTATGCCTTGTTTTGTTAATTTGTACAAATTTCACATGATCATGCTGTTGTAATAATCACATTTTGTTTCCACGCTTGTATGAGATAATTGTTGTGAAATTCTATATTTCAGTGATGGACTCATTATGGCACAAGAGGTTGAATCTATGCCGACCCTCGAGCAATCCAATTACTCTCATTCTCTCTCAATGTCCATATCATCTAGAAAGTTCATTTCCCTCAACTACTCACCCAATTTTAGTTTGAAATCCTGGTTGAATGTTTTTAATTTTGTGTCAATTGTTTGAAATAATTCTTGCCATTCCTCATATGTGGAGAGTTGCAAGTTGTGACCAGTCGATGCCTAACTAACATTCTTCCTTCCATTCCATTAAGTCTTTCATCAAGTGATGCAGTCCGGTTAATTTGGATATTTTTAGACTAGTAATCTAATTACATATCCTGAAGAACAAGCATAAAATCATGCAGTACAGAAGAGGCCATTCAGCCCATCGAAACTGCACTGACAGGAACAGTAATCTATCCATTATCATAAAATATTGCCTTTGGGAGAATACTTTTGTTTGAATTTTTACCTTGCACTGATAGTTATGACTCTTCAACCTGCTTTTATGGGACATTAAAATTCTGAAATGAACATTCAAGATCTGAAATCCTTCGATCATCAGGATCCGAATGTCATTGAGCTTAACTGTGAGGGAGACATGTTTCTCTTTTCTATCTGCTTCAATAAGTTTTAAGAATCAATTTGACTGGAAAAGGGTTGTGATGCACACACCACACCTGAGTGAGAGTGTTTCAGTGCACTGACAGTGAAAAAAGCTTAAACTAGTTAAACAGCCTGAAGAAAAAAAAAGTATAATTCACAACAGAGACTTCAACTGATTGCCTCTCCAGGTTTAACTCTCAGCATGAATAGATCCCAGAAATTTGGGCACTGTGGGGCGGGATTCCCTTCCCCATCTGCACTTGAGATTCACGAGTGCAGACAGACTGGCCAGAGGCCATTCTCTTGTTCTGAGTGTAGGAAGGGATTCACTGATAAATCCACCCTGTTGAAACATGAGTGAGTTCATATCCGGAAAATGGCATTTCCCTGCTCTGATTGTGGGAAGGGATTCACCGATTCGGCCAACCTGCTGAGACACATGAGAGTTCACACTGGGGACCGGCCATTCACTTGCTGTGAGTGTGGGAAAGGATTAATTCATTCGTCCGCCTTGCTCATTCACCAATGGATTCACACCGGGGAGAAGCCATTTACCTGATCTCAGTGTGGGAAGGAATTTACTGCTTCACCCAACCTGCTGCATCACCAACTGATTCTTACTGGGGAAAAGCTGTTCCACCTGCTGTCACTGTGGGAGGGGATTCACAGATTCATCCAAACTGATGGAGTTTAATCCAAAAAAATGTGAGGACGGAGTTTAACCTGGAGAAATGTGAGATAATGCATTTTGGAAGGTCTAATCCAGATGGAAAATATACAGTAAATGGCAGAACCCTTAAGAGTACTGATAGGCAGAGGGATCTGGGTGTACAGGTACACAGGTCACTGAAAGTGACACTGGAGGTGGAAAAGGTAGTCAACAAGGCATACGGCATGCTTGCCTTCATCGGCCGGGGCATTGAGTTTAAAAATTGGCAGGTAATGTTGCAGCTTTATAGAACCTTAGTTAGGCCGCCTTTGGAATATTGTGTTCAGTTCTGGTCGCCACACTGCCAGAAGGATGTGGTGACTTTGGAGAGGGAACAGAAAAGATTTACCAGGATGTTGCCTGCTCTGGATGGCATTAGCTATGAGGAGAGGTTGGAGAAACTTGGGTTGTTCTCACTGGAACAACGGAGGTTGAGGGGGGAACTGACAGAGGTCTACAAGATTATGAAGGGCATGGACAGACTGGACAGTCAGAAGCTTTTTCCCAGGGTGGAAGAGTCAGTTACCAGGGGGCGAGGGGCAAGGTTTAAAGGTGATGTACAAGGCAAGTTTTTTACACAGAGGGTGGTGAGTGCCGGGGGAGGTAGTGGAAGCAGATAC